ATTCAACCAATATTTCACATGCTTTACTTCACTGATATCAAGATAAATTATAGAAAACATTGAAACTATTAAATTCATCTTCACTGACATATCTTTTTGAATATTTGAGTGATTGAAGTTAAAACCCACAAATTATAAATTTTATTTGCAGCTAATTGTGGGCTTTTTGTCTTTAGAAATGAAAAGTTTAAGAATTAATTCATAATTGTATAACATCTTCACTTCTCTAGTATTTTACTTTTCATCCTGCTTTAAAAAGAAAACTTCAAAAATAGAAGGAAAAAAAACCTATTAAGTGATTGAATGTAGCCATAATATTATTTTGAGATTGCAACAGCACCTTAGTTTTTAAATGAAAAGAAAAAAGTAATGTGCATTAAAAAAATTTGGCAGCGGTTACAAATCCACAGTGCAAAGAAATATGTGCTAGACCATCAGTACAAAATGCAAACTATTAGGCAAGAGAGAGCTAATAACAGGCTTGAGTTGGAAATGCAGATGTCAGCTGCGAGTGCCTCGCGTGTCAATAGCGGTGTTAAACACAGGGTAGATACCAGCCCGAGCTCGCTCTGTGTTCTGCTCTCAGAATCGCCCAGGCTCGGGCAGTGGGGACCCACGTCAGGTTCTGCTGCGGCTCGGTCGGGGAGGACGTGCGTGGGACGTGCACGTGTGTGTGTGCTGAGCYGTCCCTGCTGGAGCTGCTGCTCTGGGGAATGGAGCAGAACGTGCTTTGCTCGCGGTTAGGCTTCGTATMTCCTAGAAGACAAGAACAGAGATGCTTAATTCATCCTAGACCAAGCTAGTTATCATCTGGGTACATAGATGTAGACAATTCTTTGTTATAATTGTATCTGGCAAAAGCCAGGTAAGTATCAGTTTATTTTAGATRGTGTTTTTATGGGATTTAGCATACATTTGTATACCCTACTTTGTTATCAGTGCAACATCCATCTAAGCCTGCCCATTATTTCCCTRCTTAAGACTTGAAAAGTTTCCTAAGCTGTGACCACAAGTACCCTGTGGAGGAGGAAGAAAAGGATACTCAAAATCAGAGGATGAGAGGTGGCTCTGCTCTCTTTTCCAAGCGAGAGGGGCACGCAACAGGGTGCCCGCTGTGTCATGAAACCCACCTTGCAGTTCCTGCTTCTATTTACTAACTCCAGACTTGCATTACTCACCAACCCTCACGGGCAGACAGAGCTGAGAAGCTGCAGTTTGGCTGCCTCTGAACAGGTACCAGATTCTGCCTCTCAGTATTCATCCCTGTTTGGACTTTCATCATTTCATGAAATAAACTGCTCATTTATTTTTGTTTGACAGATAGCAGTTGAGCTGTAGAATTCTGTCTTGTAGTAAATACAAGCATGTTTCTTTTGTGGAATGCCAGGTTTTTGTGGGACTTGCTGTGTATATGTTCACTTGGTGAGCTCATCTGAACTACTGTAAATTTAATTTCTGAAGGGTGTAAATTCAGAAGTGTTTAAATCAAACCTTTTTTTTTTTTTTTTGATGACACATCTACTACAAGCCTGCTTGATGTTGTGACCTCTCAGTGCAATGCACAAAGTTTCAATAGGTGAAAACAATTCAGCTGAGCTAGCAATAAGATGTTGATTCAACAAATGCCTCATTTCTTGGGGCTTGTCTAGATGATATTTTTGCTTTAGAGTTAATTTTAATGACTGTGATGAGAAAGCTTTGTGGGTTTGTCACAGCTAACAGAAACGCATGCTACCTGTTAATTGTGTTTTACCTTATGCTGTCTAACTTGTTGTGAGACAAAAATGTGTAGAAGATGCGTTAACACCCGGCACAGTGAAAAATGATCAGTAATTGTGCCCTTGGGCAGTGTTGACCCTCATGTTTCTCAAAAGAGAAAAAAGCTTGCATATTGCAATGAAGTCTCAAAGAGCTGAATATTTAATAATACATTGCCTAAAGACATACTTGTGTTCAGCTCTGAAGTTACATTATAGATGCATTGTAGTCTGGTTTTGGATAGCTTATAAAYGGGTGCTTTATATACTAAATAATTTCTTGGTGTTTTTGTGGGCATCTGCAGTTTATTGCAACCTATGTTATGCTCCTACTGTTCTGCTAAAACCCAGGATTTTACTGCTTGAAAGTTTTATATCTGTCTGAGGTAAATACTGCCTGTATTAGCAACACTTTATAATTATGGCCAGTTTCTAGAACTAAAAGTGTCAAAGGAACATCCCTCTCCCTTAATACTGCTTTTATTCAAGATGTCCTTGATTTAAGTTCAAAGTTATGATACTTTTCTTACTGCAACCATCCACGCTTTGGGAGTGTGAAATATTCTCCGTTTCCTTGACTGATGAAGAATTTACTTGGCAGCAGTATCTGTATTTCCCCATGCCGTATAATGTTATGTGAGCCTAGCTCTGACCTTTCTGTGGTGGGACCTGGTGGTAATAAAAATATATGATTGGCAGAGCTGCAAGAAGTAATTAGTTCTTAGCAGACGTGAAAAATGAAAGGGTTATTTAAGGGAAGAGAAAGTGATTAGACTTTATGGAGTATATAAGGTTGTCTGAGCTTTTATTTCAACTACTAAAGTATTGAAATAAATTTGTCACTATAGTATAACCCGTTGGAATGAATCACTGCAAAGAAACCCTCTAAATATCTTTGCTATTTTTTGTAGGCCCAGTTTTTAAAACGTTAATTAGTTCATTTGCCCTTTCAGAACCTCCTGAACAGCCTGGCCACGTGGGAAGGCTAGATCAGGAAAGGGAGCCTGCTCCTAGAACTAGATCTTGCTTGAACTGACTTGAGGAACAGTTTGTGCTATTCTTCGAAATAACAATAAAAAAACTATGACTGTTTTCCAGGAAAGAATTGGACAGTCTTCCAGTGGCTATTACAGAGGTCAGGATGATGGGATTTTCTGCACTTTAGTTGGAAGTACAAAACAAGACCAGTCAGTCTAGAGACTGTGGAGAGTGGACGTGGAGGCAACAGGAGTAGGTGAAATCTCCGGGAGTCACTTAACACTCTCTGGATCRGGCAGCCATGTTCTGGGAAGGGCGAATAACCAATGTGTTGCTTTCCTGCTTCCAGGATTTTTCCATATTCTAATTTTATGTTCATTAAAATGTTTCCTTTATTAATAGCTGTTCCAGCATAAGCAAGGAAGGCAAAGTTGAAGCTGTGCAGCCTGGCTTGACCGTCCTGCTGCTCAAGTGCCAGATGCAAGACATTAACAAACAAATACATTTTTTTTCCTTCTTAATACACTCAGATTAACAATCAGAGCCCAGGCTCGGCGGTATTTGCCCTGTTTTAGTGCTGGCTTCACACAGGATGCACCTCCCCGCGGGTCATGGTGGCCCTGCTGTCCCTGCTGGAGCAGATCTGGGATCGCTCACGAGAAGAAGGTGTGGGGAGCTGGTCCAGGCCCTGTGGCTGGAAACACCGAGCAGCTCCTTGATTTGGAACAGGGAGAAACTGAGGCCTTGCCATGGAGGCCTAGTAGGCAGTTGCTGTGAAGAAGTGGATCCAAGGGAAGCTTAATTCTCCTCTAGGAGTGCGAAATGTTGAAGAATSTGGAGAAAAGATTCTGAAGATTCTGGAGAGAAGCCAGTGTTATCAGTGACGAGGTGATAAATGTGGCAAGAAAGAGATTAAATTTATGTTAATCTAAAATTAGCTCTTGTTTTTTTCTCTCAGAAATTCTTCAAGCTCTTGAGTTTGCCACTTTGCGTTCCTTTAGATTGACAGGTTCTGCTTTGCTGTGTCCCGTTTGGAGGACTGGGGCTTTTCGCTGTTTCGAGGCTGCCCGTTTCTGCCCTGGTTGTGTTTAGCAGAGGGAGCGGGCGCTCCCGGTTCTCCTGCCYGGTACCCTCCGCGGCCGCTTCCGCGGGGAGTCCTGCCCGGGGCCGTCCTGTGCCYGTCGCTTCTGCTGCTGACAAGTTCTGCAGCTGAAGCTGCTGCTCTCCGGGCTCCTTCGTGGTGCACCAGGAACGGGAGGGGTTTGGCAAGTTATTGCTGTGTGTGTGTAAATGAGGTGGCAGAATGAGGGATGAACGAATTGAAGCAACTTCCACTGCTCTGGTGTGCTGGACATGGTGCAAATGCGCGGGTTTGGAGCCCCGTTGCTGTAGAAGTAGCACATCTTATTGACTCCGACTTGAAAATTTATGGAGTGCCTGTTGCTCACTTTTACTTAATGACACCTGCAGTGTGTTCTCCTTGCTATCTAACGTGCAAAATGTAATAAACTCCAGTGTGGGTAATTATTAATGTGACAAATGTGTGTTTTGAGCATTCCTATTGATCTGCTGCGTTGCGCCACGTGTATAAGGAACAACGTAAAGGCCGTGATTTATTTCACATCCTGAAGGGTCAGTGTACTGCTGAGCATCAGAGGACTTTCACTGCCTTTTGGCAGCTGCATCGTGACCTACTTGGTGAATTTTGGCTGCCACTGTTTATTGGAAAAATTTCCAACAACAGCTATACCATTTTTCTGTAGCAGAGAAGCCAGCGTTTATGTAACTAATGCTTCTCTCAAAGCATCACTGTGTTGCACTTSAAGCAGTGGGTTTGCTTAGTGCTGGAAATTTCATGGTTATGTTGGCGTTGAAAGTATTATGAACAAAACRAGCTGAATTACTCCAGAGGTAAACTGTGGAGAAAAGAAGCGTGTGGTTGGTAGGTCCAAAAAGGTAATTAAGAAACATTTAACTCTAAACTATTCAGCTGAATTTTAAGACTCTTACAGTCTTTTAAGTCTCTTGCAGGCTTTGAATGCAAATTATAGACTTTTATTTTTCTATGAATTTTGATTTAAACCTTTTATAACCCAAGATAAATGCTTGAAAACTAAATATTTAGCAAAATCTTGTATAGTAGTGATTTGATAGTGTTTTGTATGTCTGTATGATTATGAATGTTTTGTAGTTAAAACATCAGATTGTTYAAATAATTTGCTAAATATTAGTTTAAGTAGTGTTCTTATTTGTTCAATTTGGCAGGGGCAGCCAGTTGGAGATTGTGACTTCAGCATTCGGCTTTCCTGTATAGAGAAGGAGATTATATTTCCCCGGCATGAGAAGATGAAGGCTGGTCATATTGACAAAGCGCAGGAGCCCTTCAGTGTTCGGAACAAGCCATTCTTTGACATCTCCAATGCAAGAAAGGTAATCCTGCTTCTGGTTGGTGCTTACGTTGCAGTGCTGAAGGCAGTTGTGCCCTCTTGAGTAACTTTTCCCATAGCTTTTTTTTTTTTTTTTAAGCTTTAAGCAATTTTCTGTGCAAAACAAATGTTCAGCAAACCTTGGCTGGGGTTTTGTAGTTGGGGGTACTTGGAAAGTGGTTTTAGGCTACCCATTTCTACTGAATTTCTCCTGAATTAATCTAAATCTTCCCTGTATTTAAATACTGCTGCACCAAAGCTGAGTTTCATAGTGTTGAGTGATGACAGAGGAAGTTACAGTTTGCATCCGCAATGTCTCTGCGCTCTTGGGAATGTCTGAGAGCTGTTTTGTTTATACAATCCTCCTCCTTAGGTAAGRTTATAATTTTCCTTTCCCTTTCCGTCCTGGTTTGGCAGTAGCATAAGAATCATGAATTATGTTTGAACTCCCATTTCATATTCAGAATTGATTATTAATAATCCATGGTAGTTAAAGTCTCCACACCTTACTTATTAATATAATGCCCTAGGCCTTCCTAAGTAAAGAATATGGCTTATAAATGCATTAGTTCCTATCTCTCATTGTGGACTGTTCCCTCAGTACTGAAATATCCTAACGCTATGTAAAATATTTCATTCTCTTTTGTGAATTAAGTGCCCCTGGGCAGGGCTTCCCTCCAGGGTAACCAGTTTTCTCTTAGCACAGCTGGGACCCTGTCTATCAGCCCAGAGCAGTGGGATACCAAGTGTCTCCTTCCATTTGCTTTGGTCCTTACCTGGGGCGGGCAGCAGGTAACGAGTCCTGCCCTAAGGGGGGAACCACAGAAGTTTTGGGGACTGAAAACTAAGTAACATGCTAAAGCATAAGCTAGGCCATGAAAAAGTCTGGTCTCTGTCATGAAAAACGTTATCAGGTGAGTTATACAGATAAAGCACCTTTTTGATCACTTCTTGATTGTAATCTTGCATTTTTGGATTGTCAATATTGTCTAACTAAGTGAAAAAGCATCATGAACTGGAGGTATTTCATAGGGAAGCAGGCTGTCTAGAACACATCATTTTAACCTTGGAATTAGAAGAAACGCGAACAAAAGGAACTAGTAGCTTAAAAATTGCTTTCTTAAATAAATTTACTATTTTTTTCAAGTGTTCTGAGGTTTCAGACTGTTTAGCATGATTTAAAATCGGAGAGGTTCTCAGAAGCTTTCCTAGAAAAAACATAGGTGAAAGACTTCTATGAGCAAACCTGCTAGTTATGCCAAATTGTTCTGTGAACTGTGTTCTCGATAAATTGTGACCTTTACGGTAAAAGTCAAATTTTATAGAAATGCATTTTTTTCTTTTGTTGTAGTCTGAGATTGTGAAAGAAAAAAATACTAATCAGTGTGCTTTTTTCCCCATATTTTTACATCAGTCCCCAGAGATAATGGGTTCAGATTCAGAGGAAACTGTCCTGTGATGGTTTTATTTATTATTATTATTATTGTTATTATTATTATTATTATGGCTGTTCAGAAAATACTGAGAATGATTTTTTTTATCTGATGAGGAACAACTAACTTCTTTTCAAGCTGCATTTTCAGTSCATATAAATTGGATCTGCTGTTCAACTCTAGGCATTCTGCCCTCTCATGTGCAAGTTCTGAACTCTGTTCCTGAGGTCTCTGGTGTCTTAGGCAACCAGCACCCATCTGTAGAAGATTGGAGCTATCTGTTTATATATATGCTGTGGCCTTAATAGTTTGAAGGATCAGTTACTGTCACATCTCAACACCTTCTTGCTCCCTTCCCRGCTCCCTTCCCCAGGTGCTTGATGCAGTTTGCTCTGCAGGAGGCAGCTGGGCTTAACTGCTTCAAATCCAAGGTTCATTCCTGCTGCTGCCRAGTTGTGGTTTCCCCCTAGTAATTCATGTGTAATGGTGGCCATATATTTATTGTTATATATGTACATTTTTTTAATCTTATAAGCCTTATTTATATAGTAATGTGAAGTGGTTGGGTTCCCAGCAACACCTCCCACATCCCTTTAAAATCCAGGGTGCTGGACAAAGGGATCCCACCAGGCAATGGAACAAGGTAATAAGGAAGGAAGATGCGGGTTTCTTTAGCTGTGCCTGCTTTCCTCAGGAACAGATTTTCCTAGGCAGATCAAAACAGCAATTCCATTTTTCCTAAAGGGAACTKGACAGGATTTCCCCCTGTTTTAAAAATATGTATTACAGAAGCAGGGAAGATTTCAAGGATTAACTGCAACCTTGTTAAAGTYTATTTGTTAAAGATTCAGAAGAGCTGAATTAAGATCCAGTTTTGGATTATTTGCTGGTGTCCCCCTCTTGAAAAGCGGGGCTTAGGCGGCTCCGGCCTCTCTCCGTGCTAATCTAAATTGCTGCTTGTGAATTGCCATAAAGAAGATTCTTTATGCAGCTCCTGTAGGAGGTACCGAGGGTGGATAAACCTTTATTAATACCCTGATATTCCTAAGCTGAGGAGTATGGTGTGCTGTTATCCCTTGGAAGCAAGGGGACTTATATATTTCCTGTCTGAAAATTTCACATATATTCCTCTCTGAAATGGAAGGGGGAAGAAAAAGAAATGCAGAAATGCTATCGCCAAACATTCTTTGAATCCATGTTCCCAGACAGTTACAGGGATAAAGATTCAGTTGAAAAAGAAACAAACTGTGGGAAATGAAGTGAATTGCCCAGATGGGATCCAGCACTCGGATTACGTTCATGCCTGTACACAGCTCTGTGCTGCGGCCCTCCTGGCGAGACGAGAACAGAGTGAAACGTGGGACCTTAAATCCAACAGGGTGAAACAYGGGACCTTACATTGGACAGGGTGAAGCTATTGGAACTGCTTTTTTTGTTTTCCTCAAGTTCGGTGCCGCTGCTGCTGCCTTGTGCTGCCCTTGGGCTGCRGTAGGGCCAGGGAGAAGGGCAGGTTGTCCCCAGGCGCGATGCTGCCCGCGCCAGGACAGCACCAGGAGACAGGGCGCCTTCAGCAGGACGGCCCCCAAGCTGGCCGGCCCGTCGGGGGCCTCCCAAACCGGTTAATGATGGAAAAAAAACCCAAGGAATTGCCTTAATACAGTGAATGTGGTTCATTCTTGCTCTTGCCCTAGGAGTGGGTGCTGCTGAGCACGGGCACGGRCTGACTGGAGGCGACAGTCGCGACGCTCCCAGCTCCTGGCTGGGCTGCCCAGGCTGTGGGGGCTCGGGTAGCTCTCACTGCATCTTGAGCTCTTCTGACATGCGATGGGGAACACTCTTGCTCCGTGAGAGATCGTGATCATATGAGTCATTTTCATCCTTCTCCTATACTGTACACTCTCACTCCTTCATTTTTTTTTTTAAGCATATTTCTACCAACATAAGGCATATACTTAAATGTTACTGAGAAAGGTCAAAATGGTGAGATCTCTGGGAATGTTTTTTAGCCCCGAGTTGCACAGTGACTAGAGTATCCTTTTCCTAGAGCGTAAGTCCTAYGTGTATTCCAGATATACCTGGGTCTGTAGCGCTCTGGAAGCTCTTCAAAATCTTCTAAGGAGATGGCTTTATTATCACTCAGGTACTAAGGGCATTCCGAGCCTAGTTATATATGGGGAGCCTCTAACAAATTTTACCTTTTTTTTTTTTTTTTTAATCAGTGAAATTGTTTCTACAATAGATCAAGAAGAGTGAAATGATTTCAAAGCAGTGGATTTTCCTTGAAAAATATTCTCTTCCGTTTGATAGCAAGTAAAGGAGAGATGCCACTTTCTAAAACAGCCAATTGTTCTTATACTAGAAGGAATTATTCTTATACTTTCTGATAGAGCTGAGAAAGTCAAAGCAACCCCAGTAATCTTATTTTACTTGCAAAAAAGGAATTACAAACTTGGTGTAAGCAGATACCACCATGAAATGGGCATTAAGAACTTAGTTTTTGACTTTCTTTTCTCTAGCAATACACGGGCCCATTTTGATAAATGTATCGAAATTTGTGGAGCAAAAGAGTAGCTTTATCAAAAAGAAAAGAAATTAACATACCAAATAGTTCACCTTAATGAAGATAGGTATCTGAAGGAAGAATAGAGTGTGTTCGTTCAGATAAGTTTTTATTAACAAGCTGTTAATTGATTCTATAATGAAATTTTGGTGCTGGGAGGCATTATTTCAGTGGCTGTTTCTGTCAGAAGTGGAACAATATATTAGCATGCATGACCAGTGGCATTTCTAACAGTGTGACCGATAATCATTGCTCTGTTGTAGTGTGATGGGATAGTGAGGAAATTAAAGAACTGTTTCAGTCTCTGTGCCAGAAAACAAGTTCAAAAAAGGCGGGGGAGGGGGGGAGAGAGAAGGAAAAAGGCTGATTTTACTTGAAATTGTTAACTGCTTCCATTCAGTAGGAGTTGGTTAATGTCAGGATACAGAGTTCAAAATTTAGCAAAATAATCTTTGTACTGTAGGTGTGTCAGAATAAGTTGCCAGCAAAGCAGTGTTGAAATGATCCTCTCTGAAGCAGATAACAATCTGAAGCAGATACCGGGCACATCTTCTTGAAGTTACATCCCCAAACCTATGGACCTGTGGGATTAAAATTGAATTTCTTTCTTTCCCTTCTCTTTCCTCCCTTCTCTTTCCTCCCTTCTCTTTCCTCCCTTCTCTTTCCTCCCTTCTCTTTCCTCCCTTCTCTTTCCTCCCTTCTCTTTCCT